GGATTAAAAAATAGAAACCTAGATAGTTTGATATAGAGTGGTTTGGCTAATTTTCTTTCATATTCGTTCAGTTATTGTTTAGCTCGATTGTATGAGAATGTATATTTGCGTGTGTATTAGCGTCCATATGCAATACGGTTCTTAAATCAGACTTGTCAAAGATTAAATCTCTTGTTCTGATCCTTAAGACCTAATGCTCAAGAGAAAATCTTTGCCTGAGATTGTCTAAGTCCGTAGATAATTATGGTTGGGATAATGAAATATGATGGAATACGGTTCTTAAATCAGACTTGTCAAAGATTAAATCTCTTGTTCTGATCCTTAAGACCTAATAATTCACGTCTATATGCGATACGGTTCTTAAATCACACTTGTCAAAGATTAAATCTCTTGTTCTGATCCTTAAGACCTAATAATTCAAAAATCTTAGCCTGAGACTGTTCTAAGTCCGTAGATAAGTATTGTTGGGATAATGAAATATGAGTTTTTTTAAGCATTATTATCAAGTTACGAAACCATTAGTCCTAACCTTTCGGTCAAGGGTCATTAAGGTTTAACCCTCCAATGAAAAGCAAGATTGGGGTTGCGTAATCTGACATCTCTGGTTTGTTTGAAGCACTTAATGTAATATTTTGGGTGAATGTGAGTGAAATTAGAAACATCATTGAGCAGACAAATTTAGTCACCTTTTTTTATGAAGGTGGCCAACACCCTCTCTCTCTTTCAATCTATCAAAGATTTAGTTGCGGGAAATGCTCTTAAAATGCGGAAGACCGAGGGACTTGAGCGTCAACGAACCGCGTAAGAACGGCGTCATTTAAGGTGTTGCAAGTCAAGGTACAATCTGACACGGCTTCAGTCAGTCAAGGGCAGTGACTTTCGGCAACCATCTGACGTTTATTGCAAGCTTTCCAGCCTCGTTTACCTCCTTCTTTTCCTCTTCATTCTTCTTCGCTTGCTCCTCCGTCTTCTCGTCGCTCTTTTGCTTTGCGACTCATAACCTCGACTTTGTGTTCGACGCCTCTTCCGTCCTCCGCGCCCGACCTTCCCGTTGACTGATTGCGAGTCCGGCAGGCTTCTACGGCGAGCGGTGCAGCTTTGCATGTCCCGTCGGTTGGTTCGGCCTCGACTGCCAACAGCGCTGCAACTGTGCCCACAACGAGCCCTGCGACGCGCTGACAGGAGCCTGCCAGTGCATCGACGGCTACCACGGACCCCATTGCGAACTGAGTGAGTGAAGAGGGCAAATCTCTTTTTTACGTCGAAGCGATTGCGCATAACCACCTCGTATCCTTCAACCTGATTATTGCCATTCTCATTCCAAGCTAATCATTCTGCATGGTCTTTTGAAGAAGAAACTCGCTGGAATTCCCTTTTCATGCTTTGTCGTTACTTACTTTTTGGGAACAGTTTGCTTGCATTTTTGGGCGCTTCGTTGTCATGAAGAAAACCGGAGTGTGATTGTGAGGCAGAGCTGAGGATACGATGCAAGAATTCACTCCTAAATTAGTCTTCATCAAAGCATTTGTCGTTCACGTCGTTTGGGCCCATTTCGGTCAACTGTTCTCGTAGAGATAATCACGCGGAGATGCCTCTCAAATGGCATTTTATGCTGAGAATTCAGATGCCAGGCAGGTACATGATAGAATATTTTTGGAAATGCATCCTTCTGCTATTTGCCCAAAGCAAAGCAGATCTGCTGAAGGTGCGGCCTCCTTCCCGTGGCATATGATTTGCCGGAAATTACGCTTGCTTGAACTTCACAAAACGCTACCTTCGCGGCATAGGACCCGCGACCATTTGTGCCACATCACATTTCTCGGCAATTTCCCACTTCACACAAAAGCCATTTGGTAACTCGTCCCATCATGACCCCAGCAATACACTTGTCGACCAATCACTTTCTCGCTTGCCAGACTGGCCTATCACATCAG